TGTGTGTTTTTTTGAGTCGGCCCGCGGGCCGCCACGGCGGCGGGCGTGGCGGGGGGGGGGGGGGGGGGGGGGGGGTGGTGAGGGGGCGGGGGGGGGGGGGGGGGGGGGGGAGTTAATCTGCTTTCTAAGATTCCATGAAATAAGGTGACAAGTGAAAACCAGACTTAGACCGACCGAATCCACATTGTCCGGGCCCAAATCCCTTTGGTAAAGTCGCATGACCCCTGATGACACGTCCCCCCCTCCCAGATCACGCTGTGATCTCAAAACGTGTGAGTGGAATGATAAATGAGAGATTTATCAATAAAGTCTGAGCAATCAGAGGAGAGAGAATAAACATCTCTCGTTTGTCCCTTCTTTTTCTAAAAGGCCTGGACATGAGCCATGATGCATGCAAACTGGACCAGCAGTGAAGTTTGAAGTGGGGAAAAACTCGAGTGGGTTTTACACAATAAATCTTTCATTTTGTGCATGTGTTCTTGTTGCAGAGCAGAGCTGCCTTCCAGCCGTGGTTCCCTCCAGGGGTCGGTGTGGGGCGATATAAGATCAGGGAATGAGCTGCACACTTACTGGGAAACGTCCCATTCTTTTTCTATTAATTGGATATTTTTATGAAACTAATTGAACAATCTGCCAGTAATTATCTGAAGGAACAAAATATGCGTGACACCTGATTTTTAACTCATTTTAACTCAATGAAATAAAAATACATTAATAGATTTTTTTCCATTAGGATTAACTTGAACGGATTTTCTCCTCTTGCACCGGAGTGCGCGCACTCTGCGTGCTTTTACCTGCTTTCACAGAGCAGTGGATGTGCGCTTTGGACTCGTAGTAGACCCAGTCGAACCCGGCCTCCACCGCAAGCCTGGACAGAGTTCCGTATTTGCTCTTGTCTCTGTCAGAGGTGGTGATGTCCACAGCCCTGCCCTCGTAGTGGAGGGACTCCTCGAAGTGGTGTCCGTCCTCGTCCCAGCCCTCGGTGACCCGGAGCTTCACCCCGGGCCACTGGTTCATCACCGAGATGGCCAGAGAGTTCAGCTTGTCTTTGCATCTCTGCGGGGAGGGAGAAGGAATGGGTCAGTGAGTGCGCACAAAAAAATGGGGTTGATGCCAGGACCAAACCCAGCCACGCTTGAATAAATCGTTCTCCCTCTCTTTCACATAAATATACATTCATCCAACAATCAGAGATGCTATTTGGCCTCCATGAAGCCCCATCCATCCTGAATGGTCTCAGCTGATGCTGAAACCCCGCTCTGATCCTGAGCTTGCACTTCTGAGCGCGAGCAGCAGCGTCAGAGGGCACATCTCGGGTAAGAAAGCTGCTCATGAAATATTGACAAGGCACTGCATTCGCTTCACTGGCCCTATAACATATTTAGCCTCGAGAAGGTGCGAGCAGCATCTCTCTCTCTCTCTCTCTCTCTGTTTTTTTTTTCTTAAAAAAGTGTTGACTTAAGAATAACATTACTGCATTATAAATGCTCCTACATATGAAGATGATCCTCTAAATATGTGATGCTTGAACCTTCCAGTGAAGATGCATGGCCTTCTCCAAGAATGTCAAATAAAGCCGCACATCGATGCTTTTCAGACCCCCATAAAAGCGCAGGGGAGACTTTCATTATTCTCCTCCTGCAAAGTCCTGGAAACGTGACATGCCTCCTTAAGTGGAGGTGTTCCAGCTGCAGACTGACAGACCTGTGATATATACTGTCCCCTCCAAAACAAGAAAGTTGCCTAATGCGCATCTGTGCCACACTTGTGGAACACATTAAATGAAAAGGAAAAAAAAAAAAGAGAGAATGAAAACAAACTCCACGGAGCGGGACTGGTGGGAGTCAAAAGCCGTGAAGCCCGACCTGTTTATTAATTCATCAGGTCGTGTGCCGCAGATCCATCCACATTCTGCTCAGCCACCGTGAAGCGCAGCGGGGCGCCTCGGCCCGGAGCTTTGTGCTGTTCAACAGCCCGCCTCTTAATCTTTTCACAAATGATTTGGTTAGAGGAAACACTTATCAGCTACCTGTCAGCGCAAACAAGCCAAATATTTTCCGACTCGTTTGCAGTGTGGGAAGAGAGACTGCGGGCTCTTAACGCAGACGCACCTGTTTAAAAGATACTTCTTTTTAAGTTTGAGCTCTTAATCTGAAGCTTTTTGATTTTCTGGAAAACCCGTTTAAAAAAAAAAGGAGAGGTAAACACTTTTAATTAGGGTTTGACTGAGGTGGGTTAAAGTTAAAAGGTAGCCCCATAACTTCTGGAAATTATCTGTAAAACGTCATCAAATCAAAAGCATCTGTCAGTTCGTTTCCGTGCCCCGCAGTCCTCGGTCCTGGCTCGACTTCAGTGAGCTGATTCCATAACTTGTTCACTGTGCACATCTAAACAGAACTTCTGCAGACACGCGCCTCTTCTCATGTACAGCATCTGTTTCCGGAACGACGACAGAACGAGTCCGTAGCGTTCGTGCGTAAAAGCCGTGCGTAAAAGCCGTGCGTAAAAGCGCGCTGGATTCAAGTGCAAAACCGCGGAACAGAGTCAACAAGGCCGGCACAGCGTAAATCCCCATGTGGTAAGGCTTCTGTCACTCGCAGCCTCATTCACTGCTCGAGATGTTTCAGGTGGAACACTTTATGATGTGATAAACACGAGCAAAACTGTTACTTTGACCTCCCAACCAAACCAGACGGTTAAAGTGTTATATGGGCTCGTGAGGGGTCCTCAAAAGTTGTTTCACTTTATGCACAGCCTTGGTTGTGTTGTTGGCTGAAATGTTTTGGTGACAAAGTAAATATACGAAAGAAATAATAGAAATGGGGGAGCACAAAGGTAGAAAAACATGAACGAAAGCTGATATTTTTGGTCACATTTTGACCCTCCCACATTCTTTTTTTTGCTTGAACCGACCACGTGGGAGTTAAATATTGCATCAAAATATTTTCCTAAGAAATATGATTTAAAAACTTCCACAGTTCTTGTTAGAGTGGGGGAGAAAAACCTCCAGCACATCCTCCCTGATCAGCGGTTTCCAGATGTTTGAGAGCCTATAGACGATGAGGAGATGCGCGGGGAGGGCTGAGAACTACGCGCACGGTGAATATTTCATTGGAGCTCATGCGCATACATAGCGCTATTGGAGACCAGAGCGCGCCTGCCTGATGGCTTCATCACCCCTGTCACCACAGGGGGATTTTGTTCTTACTGAGCCAATGCGAGCCGCGCGCGCGCTGCATAATTCACCAAGATCAGAGTGCTAAAAGTCACGCTGATGAAGAGCCGCGGCATCCGAACAGAATCCGAGGCAGTCTCTCTCTGCTTAATCCGTGCCAAACGGATTGGGGATGAGGATGGAAGAAGATGTCACCCTTCATGAACCGGATTTCTAAGTCCCGACAGTGGTCAGGAAGCTCTCAAAGAAATGTTGCACATGACCAGATGAGCAGGAAAACAAACGTCTGAATGAACTTCGCCATGCCTCAATGAGCCCAGCTGGTGGAAGCGGTGCGCATCAGCAGCAAAGGGCTGGGAATTATGGGAGAAAGGCGCTCCAACAAGGTATATCACGAAATCTAAGCCAAACGAGGCTGTGCGGGGCTCTCAAATCGAGGTACAAATATAGATATGTGGAGAGGGGCGCATGAATATTTCAAGTACGCTGTCACAATAATGAAGGCCGAGTGTCCTGACTGCCCGCCTGAACGCATCACTCCTCCAGCTGCAGCGCTCCGAGCCTGCAGCTGCATGGAAACCTCCCCATGCTGGCGCAGAAAGTGCAGCCAAAAGGCGCAGAGGGAAGAGTTCCGCGGCGGGTACAACGCACTTCACTGGCAGTGTCTGCAAGGAGGCTGCGCGCAGTGATGGTGCGTTAGGAGACGCAAATGATAATGATAATAATCTGTCTCCTCACCTGAGTCATCATCCTGTCCGCTCCGGTCTTCTCCTCATCCTTGAAGATGATGTCTGTGTTATAATTGGGCGTCAGCTCCTTAAATCGCTCCGAGTTTCTTGTGATCTTGCCTTCGTATCTGCCGCTCGCCCCGAGGGTCTTCTCCGCCACGTTGGGGATGAACTGCTTGTACGCGAGAGGTGTCAGCTTCTTCGGGTGCCTTCTCCTGCCGTACCCCCTTCCCGGTCCGCATCCCATCCCAAAGGACACCAAGGACAAGCAGATGAGACCAGCCAAAGCTATTTTGGTCCAAAGCAGCATTTTTTTCCTTCTTCTTCTTCTCCCTCCTCCTCTAAGACCCTAAACGAGTCACTGCTGCTACCTCAGCCGTCTGCCTCCCCCCCCCCCCAAAAAAAAAAAAAAAAAAAAAAATTAAAATAAAATAAAAGGCTCTTGCAATGTCCTTGTCTCCTCTTCTACTTCGCCGTCGCCTGCTCTTCTCTATCGCGGCAGGTGCGGAAATGGGCGCGTCACACAAATGCCAATAAATGGGCACATCGAAAAAAGCTGAGAAAAAAGTAGTGAGGGGAATTATAAAGCCACGGGATGTGGAGGCGAGCTGCAGCTGCTTGTGTGAGCCGACCGTTTTACTGCTTTGTATTATAGCACCGATCTATACAGCAGGGGAGGGACTTGATTGGCTCGCATAGACAAACCCTCCTGATGTTATCCCACAAAAAAAAAAAAAAAAAAAAAAATCTTAAAAGATTCTTCCACTTTAGGGTTAGCCTCCGCTGCATGGAGGAGGGGCTCCTCCATGGGAAAACATCAATTATAAACCGTCTTTTCTCTCTTCTCTGCCCTTCCACAGGAGGAGGAACAGGCAGGACAAGTTGCTCGGAGCTGATCTTCAATCTGAAGCAGCAGTTAGGTGAAGTGATTTCACTGGGTGTGTGTGTGTGGAGGTGTGTGTGTGTGTGTGTATGGTGCGTCTGGGAGCAGCTCTTCGCGCAGACTGCGTTTGCAGGAGAATTAAAGCTGCTCGTGGGCGCGCACTGCGCATACCTGTGATGGATGGTTTGGCAGTTATCCATACTCACTTAAAAAAAATGAAACAAAAGCAAACAGCACGGAATGGAATAGAGTTTACTTGGTGGAAACACACAAAACTTTATTGGGTCTTTCCGTTAAACCGCGCGCGCAAATGGTGCAAAACTTCCTCTTGGAGAAACTTGGGATCTTCCTCTTAACTCAAAGCCTTGAGAAATCCGAGCAAACATTTTTGAATGTTGCTTTGAAACTGCTCAGATTAGATTAGAAGGAAAACGAGTCCAAAACAAACTCGCAAAGTTCGTTTGCAGTGCGCGCGCTGCTGTGCGCCCATGCTTTTTACGCACAACAGCGACAGGACGGACTCACTGAAATAAAGAAGAGTCATCTTCAGCGGCTGTTTGCAATTCATGCACGACACGTGCAAAGCCTGATCTAATTAGAATATGTTTATGTGATGAGTAAAACAAACTTTTATCTAATTAAAAAAACAAGAATCATTCAAATACTGCACTCATTTGCTTAATTGGATACGATAAGATAAGATATAACTTCATTGATCCTGCAGGGAATTGTTGAAATAATTCCATCATATTGCATTTTATGGCTTTGAACTATTTAAAATTAGAATTTTGTTACTAAAAGTGCAACACATTATATTTGCATATGTTCTATAGTAGGTTATATATATATTCATTATTTACTAGGATATCGCTTGAGATGACATTTGCAACGGACACCTGGTCAAGACAGCACATTAGTGCAAAAACACAAGCAAAAATTAAAATTAATATCAAAACACATGAATATAAAACAAGTCAGGATCAACATAGAAGTCAAAGAATCACCCTTCGTGTATAGAAAACAATATCAGAGCTTTAAACTCTCCCAAAGAGATGAAGGGATGAAACTTTATCCTGATGCATGCTCAATAACTCTAAAAAAACTTTTTTAGATTGAACTTTAGTTTGCTCTAAAGGTTATTCCATGATGGAGGTGCAAAATAAGCGGACTCTGATTTACAAAGTGGGAGCTCCAAACAAGGTCTTCAGCTCATAACAGGTCTTTGAAAGGTAGTTTACCCGCTATAGATTTTTACATAAAAAAGTACCAATGTTGTTCAGTGCAATACTGAAGTTTAAAGAAATCCAATACTACAAAATACACAATGTTGTGTTTGATGCAAAGATTTTGCTTTGAAATGTAAAGAACTATAGAGTCTAAACTAAATGCATTGGAAGCAGCACGCATAATGTTGAGAAAAATTTGGCCTGAACAAGTTTTTTTTATTAAATCAAACAAGTCCTATATCAACAGAAAGCACTTGATTTTAAATCAACACTCCTGTGTTCCTGTGATTAATAGCGGCATGACATCATTGGACAATTTAATTCTCACTCGAGACACACGAGTGCAGACAAAAACAGACATTTAAAGTGTTTTAGGGATAAAAGAAGATGTGTAGGATAACAAAGAGTAGAGGGGTTGGTTTGGGGGCAACTTTAACTCTCATCACACACAAGTGAGGACAGATATGCCAACCTTTTGCTGTGGCTTTAGTCTCATCAAAGCTCACTCTGGCTGACCTCCAGTCTGGTGTTGTTCAAACCTGTGCCAGGCTTGTGGCAACCAGAGGAGGTGGGACGACCTGCTAGCTGAGCTTCAGCTATCAGCCAATAAATGGCTTATGCACCTGGCACACTGTCTATAACACTTAACAAGATGCCTCCATTTTGCTGTAAAGTGTCTTTCTTGGACATTTTTTGGCAGCTAATCAAACTGATCTGACAGCAGCATGGACCCATTTGGCCCCTTGTTAGAAATATCTCAAACCTACAGTTAGAGATATTTTGTGGAAGAGACCTTGGAGGTGTCAGACACCCTGAGAGATGCAAGATGAAACTGGTATAAAGTATTACGTACGATAAGGTTCTTTGTTCGAAAGAAAGTTGGTGACAAAATGTGATGCAGAATGAAGTGAATAATGCAGAAAAAGTGATGAATAATGCAGCCTACAGAGCAGATATACTGCTGATGGGTTTGAACTTGAGTTTCTCCCACAGAGGAAACCAACTCAACCAGAGAATTTGCAAACATCACACTTCAGTGTTTGGTTTTAACCCGTGCCTGCGCCAGACAGGTGGAGTTTTAAAGCTATAACCAAAGGAAATCAATGGCATATAAATATTTATTTTATTTTGATAAAACCACAAGTTAAAATAAAAAAATAAAAAAACATGCTTATTAAAAAGAACACACTTACAATATTAGTATAGTATTATCTTCTTTTGTGGTTCCATGGAAAATCATAAGCAGTTATTATCTTACCTGCTGCGGATAAGTCTTTGAACCGCTTCCGTTTAGAGATATTGGATTTAATTGTGACCATGGTGGTGAGTTACTCACCAATTCTAGTCTAAAAACGTCATATTAGTTCATATAACTGCTGTTTTATAAACCTTATAAATAAATTTCACATTACACATTAATTTGGCAGAGCTAATGCATTGTTTTTGTACAAAGTACCCATCCCATGGTCACTCAAAAAAAGGCTACAGCTAGCTGCTATTGTCACTGTATGTGCTTGAAAATACCACAGCAGTTTGCGTAAGTGTTGCAAAACTGGTGATGTAAAAGTATAAATCACCTGCCGCTTCACCTGCTTCAAATGTTATCAGACAGTAAATGTCCATCATTAGTTGTTATCATCCCCATAGATTGCATTCAGACAGTTAGATTCGGGCCCAGAAAATCTGACCCAACCCAGCCCCAGCCCGTAACCATCATTTCCAAACCCTATCCGACCCAATGAATAAACAGTAATTACAGGTCCGACCCCCCAAAAAGTCCCAACATTTTTAATTAAGCGTTGACTGCTTATAGTTATTAATGGTCGGCGGACACGCGTGGCTGAATAAAAGGGGGCAGAAGCTCAAAGCTGAGGGGGTGTTTGTCCTTTCATGGCCGTCAAAGCACATTAAATCCCTGCTTCTGCCTGCATTCTGCATTATTCAGACACGGACCCTACTTTGACATATTTTGGGATCTCACCTGTTTGGGTCATCGGCTGCGCGCGTACTCTGAGTGCAGCTGAATCTTTTTTAAATTACACCACCACCCTTCTAAAAGAAAAAAACAAAAACAAAGATGTCTCATTTGTTTGAATGTCTTTCTTTACTTTGAGCTTTTTTTATTTTTACCTTTTTCAAGGCTGGTTAGCGAACGGTCAAATGGCTGTGTGCGGCTGGTGAATGTATGGCAATCCATGTTGCCATATAATTGGATTGTCAGCTCTGCGAATCGGCTGACACAATAAAAAGCCCGACACCGGCCTGGCCTGCACATTAAGCACATTATTATGGCCCAGCTCTAATCCATGTCAGGCCGGGCCAGGCGCCGCGTTCGGGCTAGAAATGACAGCTCTAGTTCAGACTGCCCCTCCTGTACCTCCTATTAGGTATACATTGTTAGCACTGATAATATGGTCACTTCTTCATGCAACCTTTATTTATACAGGTTAATCTCAGTGAGCTGTGGGGATTCATTTACAAGAGAAACCTGAAGGGTCTGTTGGGTTAGGTTAAGGCTCAAGGGTAAGGGGGTTAAGTTTAGGGTCAGTGCTCTGGATCAGGTGTAAAGTTAGGATAAGGGTTAAATAAAGCTAACAAAAAAAAAACCTTCCGGTTTTACACGCATGCAAAGCTGCATATTTTCAGCGATAACAACGTACCTTTAAAACTACTAGGACGTAGGAGGGACAGTCTTAACGCTTCCTATGAGGATGTGTATGTTCCCTTGTACTGAAACTCTGGCACAACAATTTCCTGCGGGATCAATAAAGTTCTATCTTATCTAATAACAACGAATAACAGTGATTGAATGGGCTGATACCATCCGAAGCTGCTGCATAAATCACCAGGAAATGTTGGAGAAGTTCTTTAAAAGATGGCAGCAATCCACGTTGGTCTTGGCCCTGCTGTAAACTCATAAACCTGCAATAAGTAAGATGATCTTTTCACTGAACCGTCATCCAAAAGACCGACTGTTGCGTGTGATGACTTCCAGCGTAAACACAACGAATGAGTCATGATTTTTTATTTTTGTTGCCTCCTTTGTGTCCCTCGGCTTCCCAAACTGGCTCCATCTTCGTCTCTGTTGTCCTGATTTCCTTTAAAACTTTAGATGGACTAAATCTACGCCTACGTCTTGATTTCTTGCGCCGCGGTCTCGATCAAGCACGAGCTTGATGCAGCTAAGTGTTTAAAAGAAGTTTAACCAGTATAAGTCCCCCCAATTACTGCTTAAAGCCTCCTCCTGTCTGAATGTTTTGTAACATTGTTAGACGGATTAGGACTACAGAATAATCACGCACAAACATATAAGTAGTGTCAGGCTTCTTGTTGTGTCCCTTTGCTGCGTAAGGGGTTTCCTTTAGTCAAACAGAAAGATGGCCCTACCACAACTTTTTGTGGGTTTTTGTTTTTTGTCTCACAGGCGGGGTCCACATTCAAAACCTTCATCCTGTTTAACAAACAGTTTTTAGCACAGACAGGTTGCCATGTGGCCCACAAACGTGTAC